ATATAATTAAAGGTATAATTTAAAATATATATATAAAAAATATTGATATAAAAAAAAGACAAATTGACTTATTAGCATGTCAGTCCACCCCGATTTTTATAAATTAAAGGCAAGACAGGTCAAAATAAGATTGACTTACCTTATTTTATCATCTCTAATTATTTTATTAAATAAATTAATTTTAATTTATAATTTAAATCTATTTTAAGTTTACGAAAAATGAGTTGATTTTTTATATTTATATTTTTTTACTGGGTATAATTTGTGGGTTTAATCTTTATTAGTAAATTTTGGTTTTAATTAGAAAAAATTATATATATATATATATATATATATATATATATATATATATATATATATATATATATATATATATATATATATATATATATATATTCAACGTTTGTGAGATTAACATGTGTTTGAATTGATGCGAAGATTTTAGGTGATTTGAGTAAATTTGTGAGATTATTTAAATTGAAAAAAAATGTAGTAGATTTGAAAGATTTAAGTGAATTTATTATAACTAATATAAATATAGGATAATTGATAATAATATTTTTAGTATAATAACTAAAGAATAAATGAATTAAATAGAAATTAAAGTTGTAGTTATTAAAAATTTATTTTTATTTTTAAAAGATCAAATGTAATTTGAGTGATTATTATATTGATTTTAAAATTATTTTTTGTTTTTTTAAATTAATCGATTTTGATAAATATAATATTTTAAATTCATAATCTAATTTTAAAAAGAAGTTTTTTTTATACTTTAAAAGTGTAATATTTATTTATGAATTTTTATTTTAATAAAATTAATAAAAAATTTAAATATAATTTTTTATATTTTCTATATCTAAATGTAATATTATTATTTTATTAAAATCAATAAAATGATTAAACTTTTATTTAAGTTCTAAAAAATATTTATTAAATTTTTAAATAAAAAGATAAAAAAAATATTTTCATAGTATAATATAATTATATATATATATATATATATATATATATATATATATGTTTAACATTTTTATATATAAATTGTTTTTTTATTTTCAGAAATATATAATATTAAATGTAAATAGGTATAATATTTAATTTATATATTTTTTAATATTGGATATAATTAATTCAAATATTAATTTATTCATTTTAAATAAAGTTATTTATTAGTTAAATATTTTTTAATAAATTATTTATTATTATAATAATTAAAATATAAAAAATAATATTTTATAACAAATTGAGAGATAATATATTATGTGATGAGACATAATCAATTATATAAATAGATATAATTGATAAGGTCTATTTATTATTAATTTTCCTTTTTTATGTGAGAGAGAACTTCAACAATAACAATTTTATTTATATTTTCTTATTCTCAAATTAATATTTTATTTATTTTAATATTTAATTATTTTTTATAATTATATATTTTTTATTTCCTCTAATATAATTAATAAATAAATTAATAAAATCTATAACTTTTCTTCCATATTGAAACATATTTTTTTTAAAACATCGTATATGTTTCTACTAGTTATTATTATTTACTGTAAATTATAAAATAATTTTGTTTAATAGAATTTTTGAAATATATTTTAAATGTTTTTCAAAATATGTTTATAATTAATCAATGAATTGATACATGTAAGAAGGAAAAAAAAAAAAAGTGATGGAGGGGTAATTAGGAGAATTGGTTGGTATTGACAGATGGGAGATTGGAACGTTGGTGGATCCGTTGTGCCCTCTCTTTCTCTCTCTCACAGACACTGAGATTGAGAGATTACGTCTCCCCATAATTGACCCAAAAAAAGAAAGAAGGGTTTCTTTTTGAGAAAGGTATGTCCAGTCGTGGGGGCCTCACATAGCCCTACACACATACTTCTGTTCAGACTAACATTCTTTCGTCACCCAAATCTCCTCCGACGCGTGGCATTCTCCTCGGACTCCCACGTCTCTCATGCCGTCCTACATACTTTTTTCTTCTTTTTTTCCTGCCGAATGCATCATTATGTATCAGTTGAAAATTGGATCATCTAATAAAATTTTTTTAAATTACGTCTGTTTTTTTAAATAATTAAATTAATATAAAATAAATATTTTTTTATTTCATATTAATTGCATTAATTTTAAATGATAATTATTTTTTAAGTTCCGACCGTATTTTTATTTTTTAAATTTATTCATTTTTATATAATTGAAGAAAAACAAAACATAACTCTATCCTAGTCTTTCGCGTCGGTTAGCATCTTTCAATTTCCGTGTTCTAAAACAAACACACACGTAAGTTTTTTTTTTTTGAGTTTATTTAATATAAAACAAAATTAATGCCATTAAACATCAATTTTTAAAGCCTCCTTTAATGGAGAAGCAATACATAAAGAAGATAATTATTTAAGGAATAGAATAAACTGAAGATTGTTTGGTCGAAGAAAAATAATTAAAACATATTTTTATTTTAATATTATTTTTTATTATTAAAAATATTGAAAGAAAATCAGACCTCGTGACTAAATATAGGATTTTTCAATTAACAAAAATTGCTACAAGGCACATTTATTTATTTATTTATTTTCGTATGATTTTGTATTAAAAAAAAGGTCGTGGGTCTCATATCTCCCTTTGAAATCTTTTCCTTCTTTGGCACATTTGTTTTTGCTCCCCACTTTCTCACTAACACACAAAACGTAATAAATTAGTGATCAAATTGGTATTAATGCTATTATAAAAATAATGTCAAAATGGTGTTATTTTATTAATTGGAATAGTGTCAAAATGGTGTTATCATATGTTAAACAAAAAAATTAAGGTTCGAAATATAAAAAAAGTTATGTAATTGAAAGAAAAAGTAAACCTTTTATAAAATTACTTACTTACCCTTGGATTAATTTTTTATTGACATTTTTTTACAATAACAATAAATTTCACATTTCATACAAATATATATATATATATATATATATATATATATATATATATATATATATATATATATTGGTTTATTTGAAAAAGCTCACATATAAATATGAAAAAGGGTGATGAATGTTTAAATTACGTAGTCTTAAATTATATGCTGATGGTTTGACTTGGGAAAACAATAGTTTTTTTTATAGAAAATGTTATTATAACATCATATTATGTTATAAAAAATATAATTAAGTTGTTTAATCTCATATTATATAGCTATTAATTATAAATTTATTTTTAATATAATATTATTGAAAACTAAAAATTATAATAGTAAATAAAATAACACATATTTATTAAAATTTTCAATTAAATCACTTTTCTTTCTATTTATTTATATTTTTTCTTCACTAAACAAAATATTAATAATTATCAAACCTCATATTTCTTTTTTTTTCACATTTTCTCTGTCACCGATGCCTAAAATATGTCAATATAATAATAAGTAACGCGCGCGCACACACATATATATATATATATATATATATATATATATATATATATATATATATATATATATATATATATATATATATATATATATATATATATATATATATATATATATATATATATATATATTTATTTTAAAGTACTTATACAATTATTCTTTCTTGTTTTATCTGCAATTGAAATAACGATGAAGATGCATGGGTATATCCAGTGTGATGCAACGGCGCTGTAGAGGAAAATTGATCAGGCTATGCGGTGGCGTGGCGGTGCCAATAGAAATTTGAGGGACCAAAGAAAAAAAAAAAACGGTGGAAGTGAACGCGGAGAATCAGATATGAGTGTAACTGTTAATAAGGTATTGCCAGCATGCACGTTCTCAACACTCCTTTGTGTTATGCCCACACATCACCAACCACCAAAATACAAAATAATAAAACCAAAAATCATCATTCAATCTTTTACATATTTATTTATTCACTACTTTTGACTGTTAGCTTCTGAAAGTACTCTTTAACGATAATAATAATATTCCTAAAATTCATTTTTTTTATAATTAACACTTCACTTTAACAACTCATCATTTTAATTGTTAATATTATGTGTTTGGATTCTAGACGAAGTTGTTTTGTGATGCTAGTGAAAGTTGGAGAATAAGAATAGAAAGATCAGAGTTATTTTTATAAATTACCTTGTATTATTAGATAATTTAAATATTAGTCTAATCATATCTTAAAATAAGAATAAGAAACTTAGGCAAGAAAAAAATTTATCATTAAATGTTTTTTTTTTTTTTGTTAAAAGGTAATATTGATATCTGATGCAAATTTGACTCAACTTTTATTAGTGTTGTTTCTTTTTAATAAATATCTTGGAAAGATCAAACTCTAAGTATTGGAACTTATAATTTATGTAATGACGAATAATTTAAGAGTAATTTTTGTATAAAAAATCTTTTTAAAAGTGGTTGATTGATATTAAGTTTAAGAAGATGCATTATTAATCAAGAATAATATTTATAATCTAATAAGTTAAGATTTTGTGTTGAATATGATGTTCATCTTTCTTTAAATTGAATTTATATTTTATTGATCTTATTTCTCCAAATGAATTCTCTTACAAAATCTACCCTAATGAATTCCCTTACAAAATCCACCATGAATAAACTAATTTTATTATCGTAAAGAAACTTTTTTTTTTCTCTTAGAAATTCGTATCCTTTACGATGACAGAAAATGATAATTTATGATGGTTTTGAAAATATTAGAGACCCGAGGAAAATAATTTACATGATCAAACACAACTAAAAACAAAAATAGCCTGGAGACATGCTTAAAAATTATAGAACAGAACAAGCAAGCAATTTAACCTTTTGAAATTAAGAAACTAGCATCTTATAGCATTTCCAGAGTTTACTATGGCAGAGTTGTAGCTTAGAGCAAGGAATTTAATGTTCACACCTCCAATCAATGCTTCAAAATGTAATATAATATACTTGACAATTCACACATATTCCATTAATATGCATGAGTGCTCTATTAGTCAGCTTATTAACAGAAACTGGGGAAAAGAAAAGATCATGCTTTAGCTTGTTTCTTTGGCTTCAGGAGATAGAACAGGCCTTCTGTCAAAGCAGCTTTGGAAGTCAAGGAAGCTCCCAACAGGTTTAGTGCCTAATCATGCATATAGAAAATGAAAATCACTGCTTCTGGTATGTTAGAGGTGGAAATGAAAAACATTGAACGGAGTTCTACAGAGTCAATCATTGGACCAAAATTAACTTTAATAAAACTCATTGAAATCACAATAAAATTAGCAAAGGATAGAGTGCTACCTCTGTCTCCTCAATTCTCAGCTCATGCTCCTCCAAATCATCCAGTGGAACATTAAGCTTTTGCAGAAATGAAATGCTGGAAGTATTTGCCAATGGTGTTACTTGCAGATCATTCCACACAACAAATAGTGATGGTCTCTTCACAAAGCCCAAAGAGGACTCTTTTGTGCCGTCAGAGGATCTTGGATCAAAAAGTTTCATAGCCCCTGGATGTTTTATAAGGCTATGGTCCTTCGAAATCACTCCATTCCCAATGGCAAAGCATATATTATTTTTTATCACTCCTGTGCCATACCAGTAGCAAGGAGTGTATTCTTCACAAAGTTTTGTTGGCTGCCTCCTAAAACCAAATTGAGGAGCCACCCTGAGGTTCAGTAAAGGAGTGCCTGAAGGATTTGTGAAGCATGATGGATTGAGATCCTTCACACTTTTGTACAAGTTGTTCATACACCCCATAGAAAAGTTTCCATCCAAGAGTTTTAGAATACATCCAAGAGGTGTTGTGAGGAAGCTGAATAGAAAATCAACAAAATCTCCCTCAGCTTCAGCATACAGTATTGTTTTCTTTGATTTTCTCACTGTTACCTTCAGGTTTATACTGGAATTATAATTTATCCAGCCTTGATTTTGATTTTCTGGTCTAAGTTTTGGTGAGAAAGTGCACACTCGCTTAAGTCCTCCACTTTCTAAGAATACATCGCTAAGAGGAGAATTGGAGGTTAATGCTTGCTTTAGCAAGTCCAAAATCTAAGAAAGAAAAATAGAAGTATTAGCATAATGTTCATATCAATATAACAAATCTTCATGCATGCACTATATTCGTCAAATAACAACAGCTTTACATATTAAGTGCATGTGGCATATATGTTGAAACTAGTCTGCAGAGTAGTAATTATTGATTGACAAATCAAATGGTTTGAAATTATAACAACTTTATAATTTGTTGTGCTTAATACCCTATTGATTGACCAAGTATCTCTCAGCTTTTTGAAACTATTTATTAACATTTTCATATCTTTTTCCAATACAAGTTTACTAGCTAAGAAATGCAAGTCCTGAAATGGATCTTGACTAACAAGAACTATTTCTCACAATGTTCATCCTCCTTCCACTAAGTATGTTCTCACTAATATCTGTGCAAAATTGCAATTTAGTAACAAACATCAAATGAATTATCTGCAATATTACCTCCTTTGTGCTAACATTAAGGTACTTCTTTGTCAGCTTGTGGAAGTTTTTGTAGCCAAGTTGGACAAGTTGCTGAACAGTGTTACCAGGAGAGCTTTGTAGCACCTTTAAATCATCAAAGATCAGGTACATGGTTCGGCCCTTAACAAAAACACCATCTCCATGAGATCCTTCGTTAGAATCTCCATGCAGCTTCATTTCTTTGTCCATCTGCTTCCCACAGTAGCAGCTAGCCTCAGCAAAAGTACTCAAGAACCAATCACCACCCCTTCTACACCTGTTGCTACACATGAAGTACCTCATAGGCATTGTGTCATCCAACTTCAGCTTCAGTTTCTGGCAAAGTGCTTCACAAGGGTTGCGTGGACAAAGCAACATTTTCTTGCAAATATAGTTCCAGAAAACCTTATCACCAGAACTTTCCAAGCTTTGGTACAAATTGCTTAAGCAACCAATCTCTTCTGCTTCATTGCACCCTTGCTTCTTTGACACAAGCCTTATGATAGTTCCCAGTGGAAGGGTGAGAAAACTGAACAAAATGTCTATGAAATCTCCACTTGCTTCAGCAGCAACCACGCAGTTTCTTTCTTTGTCCACCAAAAGCGTCAAAGGGAGCTTTGGTTCTTGCTTGGAAGCCATGCAAAATAACACAAAATCAAAGGAAGTTAGGGAACAAATCAGCAGGTTTAGAACAAAGTGTGGTGATTTCTCTTTTGCGTTGTTATTTTGGAATTGCCATGATACACTAGTGAGTTATTAATGGTGTTGGGTTTGAGATTGGAACAACGAAAAGAAGGAAATAAGGAAGAAGTTTCCTATCTCAGCCAGCATTATAAGACAATTCATTGTTTTTGTTGTTTTGTGAGAAGAAAAAAACGAAAGAGCTCACTTTCCTATTTTGTTTCTTTTGTATTACATTTGATTATCATTAGGTTCATTAATCTTTAGGTATAAAAGAAGTGTATGGAAGTGATTATGTTCCGTAAACGAACTCCTCATCTCTATTTTCGTTATATTTGAAGAATTATTCATTTTGGAATAATTTTTTTTTAAGATGTATTGACATGAGAAAAGAAAATATATATAAATTATTATTCATCTGATCTTTAAATAAGTGAGACTATACAATTTATAATATTAATTTTCGTTTAATAATTTTCTATGGATAGAAAGTAAAATTAAGAATTCTCTACATAGAAGCTAAAATTATATGTTAACCTAAAAAACAACTCTAATCTATTAATATAATAATGGTAAAAGGATAAGTTGGAAATTAAAATAATTTAAAATTATCATTATAATATTAAAATAAATTATAGATTGGATGTTTGAGGAAAATCCGCTGTCAAAATAATTTTTTCCTTTTCAGAAATTTATATCACACCTTCTCATTTTCATGAAGTCATACACAATTAAAATTTAAATCCACAAGCAAATGGGAATAGGATTTCTCATCAATTTGTAAAAAATTATTAGATTGTTAATTACTTCGCCAGTAGTGTGCATTTCAATCTTCAAGATCAAAAGATGTCATGAAATTACACATTGACCACAAAAAATTTAAGGATTATAAAAATACTTTTAAAAGAGTTGTAAACTTGTATCTATTATGGTTTTGTTGAAGAATAATTATATAAAAAAATCATAAATTTTTTAATTTGACACAATAGACTTTAATCGAAATTATATGAACAATATATCTGTGATATCTACTTAGTAGCTGATATAGTCAGCTACACGGTTCATTATTTAAATAATGTTCATAAAATACAGACATAAAAAACAAAAAGAAAAGTTTTATAGAGATTAAAATGAAAAACAAAAGCAAAATGTAAAAAAATATTAAAAGAAAAACACCATACATGTATGATAGTATAATAAGATATATCATTTTGATAAAAAATTTAAAATAAGAAAAAAAAAAGTACTTGTTGTGAAAAATTTAATAACCCCGGGGATGTAACGGCACGCGTACTACTGTAGTTACTAATTAATTATTATAGAGGAACAAATTCAGAGAATGAATCAAGTGAGGAAGATAATTCAGAGGAAACAGAGCAGAAGAAGGAGAAGAAGAAGGGGTTTTGTGGTGTCACCGACAACGACCAAACTCTTTCCATTCCATTCTGGTAAGTCCCTTTCTCACTTTCTTCAATCCTTCATTGCAATTTGCAATGTCTTACATCGTGCTTTTTTATTCCACTCACTATTCACATTATACTCTGCGTCACACTTAGAATAGATCTACTTTTTCAGGCGTGAATTTGTGTTAAATCTTAACATCACAACGCGTAATTTTGGTGTTGTTCAGATGTCTAAAGCAACTGACGTAGAAAACCCTAGTAATAACCCCACTGTTCAAAAGGATGTGGATGTGAATGTGAGTGATGGCGAGGGAAATTGGTACACTTCATTGCTGCATCAAATTTCAGTGTATGGGGTTGCTGCTGGGTATTGCTTATCTGCATCTTTGCTTTCCATAATCAACAAATGGGCAGTGATGAAATTCCCTTACCCTGGTGCCCTTACCGCCCTGCAGTACTTCACCAGCGCCGCCGGGGTCTTCATCTGCGGCCGGCTCAAGCTCATGGAGCATGACCCCCTTGACCTTATGACCATGTGGCGGTTTTTACCCGCAGCGATAATTTTTTACCTGTCCCTTTTCACCAATAGTGAGTTGCTCCTCCATGCCAATGTTGACACATTCATTGTGTTCCGATCTGTTGTTCCCTTGTTTGTTGCGGTTGGGGAGACGCTGTTCCTGCACCAGCCGTGGCCGTCAGCGAAGACATGGGCCTCCCTGGCCATCATCTTTACCGGCAGCGTGCTATATGTGGTCACAGATTATCAGTTTACTTTCATGGCGTACAGCTGGGCATTGGCCTACTTGGTTAGCATGACCATAGATTTTGTTTACATAAAGCATGTGGTTATGACCATTGGCTTGAACACGTGGGGCCTTGTGCTGTACAATAATCTTGAGGCTCTTCTGCTTTTCCCGCTGGAGCTGCTGATTATGGGTGAGCTGAAGAAGATTGAGCATGAGATCAAAGATGAATCTGATTGGCACACATTCCAAGTCATTTTGCCAGTGGGATTGTCGTGTCTGTTTGGTCTTTCGATCTCTTTCTTTGGATTTTCTTGCCGCAGGGCAATTTCTGCGACAGGATTTACTGTCCTTGGTATAGTGAACAAGTTGTTGACGGTTGTGATCAATTGGGTGATATGGGACAAGCATTCAACATGGGTGGGTACAGTAGGGCTTCTGATTTGTATGCTGGGTGGGATTATGTATCAGCAATCAACAAGCAAGCCGAAGGCTGCAAAACAGGTTAGTGCACAGGATAATGAAGAGGAACAAAAGAAATTGCTTGAGATGCAAGACAATTCAGAGACCAACATAAAAAGTAATGAAGTTAATAAACCAAGGGAGGAAAGCTGAAAGTATTTTCACGTTGGACGATTTCATATTTCCTTTCAAGGCTAAGTTTGTTTCAAAGGTATTTGATATAAATTATGGTCTCATTTTTTGTAACTGTTAATTCATAATTCTTTACAACGCAATCTCCTTGAATGGCAAGCTCATTCGCATTCTGTTATGTAGGGTTTTATTTACATTAGGGTCTATCATGTAAAATCTTTTATTTAAGTGCTTGGTAGATAAAATGTTTTTCAATTTGATTTAAATTCTGCTCTCATTTTTCTGTGACTGTTAATTCATGATTTTTAACAACGGAATCTCCTTGAATGGCAAGCTTATTGGTATTCTGTTATGTAGGGTTTTATTTACTTTATGGGGCTATCATGTTAAATCTATTACTTGAGTACTTGGTAGATAAATTGTTATTCAATTTGATTTTTTCACTTTTCAGCTTTTAAACTGAATCATTTTATGTTTCAAATCTCAGTTTGTTCTTTTCTTGCTCTTGATGCTTCAAATTCAGCTGATATCAAACATGTTTTCACTATTCTTATCATGGATCTGATGATTACTATTTATGTCCATAATTGTAACTTTATTTGATAAATATTTAATGATCGGCTTGACCAGCTTGAACACATTGTCATAATGTCGTAGTCCAACTTAGTTTCTAATACACATTGATGAGGTATTTGTATCAATTCAATTGCATATTTTATTACAACCAAAACTACTCCTTGATTATCCTTGCAACTATGAGAACAAACTATCTGTCTTTGTAAGAGAAAAGAACACTGAAAAAAAGTTTTCTCTTTTCATCCTGGTTTCTCTTGCTCCCTATAGTTACTCCAGTCTTACCTCCACTCTAACAGTAAGATTTTGGCCCCAATGGGGTTTTGTGTATATTTGTTTTTTCATTTTAGTGCTGCTAGATTAATGTCTTTTGCTTTGTGTTTTTTTTTTTTTGGTATATTTTTAGGTTATGGCAGAAGATTGATTCATGTGTGTTGAAATCAATTGCTTACTGTGAATGCTTTAAGAAATGGTTTCCTCGATCTTGCGCTAAATTTCAATACCTTTGAGATCCTCATATTAGATTTGGTGTTGTTCACGTGACAGTTCAAAGTAGCTCCTCTGATGTAGTTAAAACATACGAACAGACTGAAATAATTTTAAACTTAAGACATATATGTTTGTTTTGTCTAATGCTCTTCGTAAGAAAAACCAGGAACGGATAAAAATGCTACTGAAGTGGATTAATATGCATTTCACATTAATTGTTAAACGGGGCCATGTGGCTGTAGCATATTGGACTTCCTGTAAAACTCAATTTTTAGCTATGGAATTTTGAGTTTCTGATGGAAGCCATTTTTATTCAAATGAGTTGTGTTCCTTTAAAATTACTTCTAAAACCTTAGCTACAAGCCTACATTATGTTATTTTGTTCCCCTTGGTAATATTTATTCTTTTTCCAATCTAAAGGTCAACTATTACATCTTTTTGGGAGGCATTCAACCCAGTTCTTAAACCATTATAACTGTAGTACTGTATAACTGAGTAGTTACGGAACCTAGAAGAATGAAAAGAAAGTGAGGACAGTGTACACCCGGAAGAGAGGGCAGAGAGGAAAAACAGTTGGAAAAGTTACAGCTGATTGGGAAGGAGTTGTTAGGTTGGTTGATTAGGTATATGAAGTTGTAAAGAGTGGGGGATTTTGTTATTTAAATTGTATGAGAGACTAGAGAGGATAAAGAAACAGGCTATAGAAAGTGGACTTTAAGTTTAACTCATCTTCCCTGAACCAATTTATAAGGTGAGGTTTACATTTATTTATATACTCGATTTTAATCATATATTTAGATGACGTGAAATTTTTAATACACCCCGTCATCCTTCTACAAGATATTTGGATCGTGGGATTAGAAAGTTATGGGTGGTCCCGGAGTGGATTGGTTGAAACCTTGCTAGAATAGATTATATTGGTCATATTCTGATAATGCGTCCCAAAACAAACTGAGAGTGGGTAGTATGATAAACCCAATAAATCTCACTAAGGTAGATATCATAATACCATATTAGAAAATAACGATCTCAAGACAGAAATTATTCCCATAGGCGGTTTGATAAATAAGTTAGGTAGACTAAAAATATATATGGTCTAAATTCTATCAATTTATCTAATTCGATTACTTAGATTAGGTTAGACAGGATACTTATGATTAATTTATTTTAATAAAATAATAATTATTTTTGAAATAAAAATATATTTTTATTATAAATTAATTTGATAAAAAAATTTGTTTAATATAAAAATTATAATTATTTATTTTAATATCTAATAATTAAGATTAATTATTATTTTAAATTAATAAATTATTAAAAAAATAATAATAAAGAATAAAATTTTAATTAAAATTAAATGATTTATTATTTTATAATTTATATATTAAATTATTATATTTTAAATAAAAATTATTTTTATTAATATAATTTAAATTTTAATAATATATATTTTATTTAAATATTTTTTTAATATATACATATTCATAATATTTAATCAGGTCAAAAATTGGTTTGATGACTTATTATAAAATTAAATAGATTATAAATTATAATTTATTTTAAAATATAAATTAGACTAGAAAGTAAATATTTATATATTAAATATTTTAAAATATTTGTTTTCACAGTTTTATTAGAAAGTAAATTTTAAGTATAATTCAATCTCGTAAAATTATCTTGTGAAGTCTTGCACTTATTATATATATATATATATATATATATATATATATATATATATATATATATATATATATATATATATATATATATGATTCACTAAATATGTACGTAAGTGTGCTTTCCGCCTATTATGCCAGTTAGAGATCACAATTAAATCCGAACCCGTGGGGATCGATCCGTTCTTTTGACTGGAAAAACTCGAGTTGATCGGAGGCGGGAGTGGGTTCAAGTTTTCCCCGTTTTAAAAAGTCGGGGATGAGGATGGGTAATGCAATCTCGACCTCGTCCCGCGCTCGATTTTATATTTAAATTTAAATTTTAAAATATTAATATTTTAAAAGTATTTTCTTTTCTTTTTCTATTACATATAAGGTCATTTTTTTATATTTTACTAATTTTTATTTTTCTTCTACCCATTTTTTGATTTTTTGTGTTTTTAATCTTTTATATCAATTAATTTATTACATTATTCTTTTTCTTACCTTTCAGCTTTTTCACATTTCCTTGATCTCTCACATTAATTTTTTTTTCAATATTTTCAACCAATTTGATGAACACAAAATTAATTTTTTTTTATTCTTTATCTTTTTTTAAATATTTTACATAAATCTTAATAGTAACTAATATTATTTTATTTATATTTTATATTTATTAGGTTTTATTATGTTATATTTTTTTTATCTTATTATTTTTATTTATCATATATCAAATTTTATCTTAATAAAATAATTTTATTTTAAAGAATTAAAGAAATTGATAATTTAAACTTTTATTACTTTGAACTAATTGAATAAAAATTAACTTATTAAATATTTTCTTATAAACTATATATTTTATATTTTTAAATGACAACTTAAAAATGAATTAACTTATATATATAATCAAATGTTTGAATACAGAATTATAATAATAATAATGTTATAAATATTCAAATATTTGAATACAGGGTTATAATAATAATAATGTTATAAATAAAAAATAATTAAATATTTTTTTACATACATATTTTAATATAAATATGATAAATTAAAAATATATATTTAATTAACAATAATTATAAAATTATAAATTTTTATTTATATATAAAAAATAGATAGTAAAATTAATTTATTATAAATATAATTATTTTTTAAAAATAATATAGATTGGGGATGGAAAACTTAGAACCCAACAAGAACAAGATGAGGACTTAATTTATAGATGATTAAAAAAAATGGGGAGTTGAGCATGGTAAGTCAAAATCCACCTCCGTTCCGCATGCGTATTCAGCTCTCTTCCTAAGCTAAGAATTGTGTTTGTAACAACTAGTGATTTCTTGTTTAGAAAGTTTTTTAATATTCCATTGGTGAGATGGAACTGAAAGATTAATTATATTGTTTCTAGTTTAATTGTGCGGGGCACTTTCTTTTAGCAGGTTCGTTATAAATTTACACATAGTGTGTTGTCAATTATTTTCAAAGCTGAAATTTCTATGAATTTTAAAATAAAATATTAATCAGATCCTTGTAAGTATCTGTTATGGCATAAAAAAATAAAAATACGAAATGCATTTATGAATTCGTATTTTTATTCTTCATTTTGCGCTTCTTTACATAAACCAGAACAATAATGCACAGGAAATGGATTTTGAATTCTTTAATTTTATAATGGACAAGTGAAGAGGCACTTATAAGTTGATTTGACGTAGCTCTTATAAGTGTCTTTGGATTGAGAAATTCTAGATGTAATTTATTTTTATAAAAAAATAAAATCTTTTATGATAAAATATATTTTAAAAATAAGATTTTTTTTAAATTTTAGTAATTTAGGAGTAATTGATTATTTAGATGTAAATAATTTTAATATTTATTTAAAAAGTAATAATTTAAAATTCTTTATATTCTCTCATTTTATAAAATTGGTTCACATTTTCTCAATATTTTAGGTAAAGATCTCTTAAGTAGAGGTTAGAGTGTTTTTCACGTGATATTGATTTTTTAATTGATATTAGTTTTACAAGTTAAAGTTAATTATAATTATTTTATTATTATTATTTTATGTTATATTTTATTATTATTTGTCAATTAATATTAATAATAATTTATATTTTATTCATAAAATTTTATATAATTTAAGAATCGAAATTAATAATAATTTAAATATATTTATTAAGACGCTTTTAAAAATAAAATATCGTAAGAATAAAAACTCTAAAGGGAATAATACACATAAAGCAATAACACTCTTTACAATATTAATAAGTTACGTAAGATTAAAATACTTAAACATTGAAAAAAAAATTAACTTCCATAAAGTAAAATAATAGAAATAAAAAGATGGATTATAATTTAATCTAGTTTTGGAGTAAATATAGCAACACTTCAAAAATTAAAATATATCAGAAAATATATATAATAAAAATAATTATATAGTATTACTTAAAGAATTATATATATAAAAGTTAAATACAAAGCAAATTATTTAACAATAAAATATTACAAGAATAATAAATAAGAGAGAGTGATAAATATAATAGAAAATATTATCTGAAAAAAAATTAAGAAAAAAAAAAGAATATTTTTGAAAGTAGCTATGTGTGTGTGAGCAGTCTTATGCATACATACATGAAAAGGCCAAATATTCTTGTGATTAGCTTCAAGGCCGGCAATTTAATTAGCTCCACTTTCTTGTCAGAATCTAATTGGATTTGTGTTCTCTCCTATCACATTTTTATTCATCTCACTCCCTCACAGTTCATAAATACTAATACCGCAATTTTCTTCAAAACTAATCCATATATGCCACAATTTTAAATTCAATAAATTACTAAATAAGTATTATACTGATAAATGTTAGGGGAATAAAAATATGGTATATAAAATTGATTTTGCAGTATTTATTAAATATTTTATTATTTTTAAAATGATATTATAATCAATTCTAGAATAATAAAATAAATCTAATCATCTATAATCGAGATAATAATTATTAATAATAATGAAGTTAATCCATCTTTATCAAATTAATATTAAATTATTCATGCATTGAAAAATTTATTTTTGATATAAAAAGATATAATTAAAAAAAATCTCAATTGTATTGAAAAAACTCATCTCCATTAAAAATATGATAATTAGGTGAATACAATCTTTTAAAAAATTAGAAATATGATAAGTGAGTAAAATATTTTGAATTAATTTTATAAAATTAAATTAAGTATATCCCCGACTATATAATATTTATGTAAAATTTAAATAATCGATATATTTTAATAACAAAATAAAATAATTCTGTAATTAATGAGATTTTTACATTTGCATTTGATTTGTGGTAATTGTTACAAGTTTGATCACACCAATCTTCACAATGAGACCCCTAAAGCCAACAACCTTCACACCAAATGGCAAGTTCAGTGTCAAATCCTGAGCTCTGAAAGCGAACACGGAGCCACCAAAATGACGAAACCACCCTCGGCAGTATGAATAATCCCGTTTTCTGCATGCATTTGGCATGAACGCTGCACCTTCCAACAATCACCTCTCTCCTTCTTCTTCTTACCAAGACGTTACACTGTTTGTTACAGCTCCTCAATCACAAACCCTTTTCTCCTTCAACGATTCTCGTGAAAAATCAAAGAAAAAACCATCTCGTAATTAACCTATTATTCGGAATTGAGAAGAAGGATGAACCAGATTCCGTGGCCAACGATAGGGGTGGTGATTGCGTGGTACAGTTCCAACATCGGGGTGCTCCTTCTCAACAAGTACTTGCTCACCAACTATGGCTTCCGGTTCCCGGTTTTCCTCACCACGTGTCACATGCTCCTGTGTTCGTTCCTCAGCTACGTTATTTCCGTCACCGATATGGTTCCGTTGCAGACCCTGCGCTCCCAAGCCCAGTTCTGGAAGATCGTCGCGCTCAGTGTCGTTTTCTCTTTCTCCGTCGTTTGTGGCAATATCTCGCTCAGGTTCATACCGGTGTCGTTTAACCAAGCCATCGGCGCCACCACCCCATTCTTCACCGCCGTTTTTGCCTACGCCGTCAGCAGCAAGAGGGAAGCCTGGGTTACGTATGCCACGCTCTTGCCTGTTGTCACAGGGGTCATCATTGCCAGTGGGGTAAACAATTTTCCTCTTCAATTTTTTTTTTTCGATGATTACAAAAAAATTATCAACTATTGGATCATCGAGCGGCTATCACAGTGCTTAAAATTAGATTTCTTAACTTTTGAAATACCCAAAACTGTTCAAGGGAGTGTTCATCTTTCCAATATCTATTAAATTTTTTAAATAGATTAGCCCCCAGGTTAAAAAGGAAGGTTTATTTATCCAATATCTATTGAATTTTCGAATAGATTAGTCCTGATGTTAAAAGGAAATGTTTATCTATCTAATTTCTATTAGATTTCCAAATTTGATTGGTCTTCAAGTTCTTCAATTGGATATTATGTCATCGTAACAAAAGATGATAAAAAAAAAAGTTCAGTTTCAGAAGGGGAGATGAAAGGATTGTTTATGGTGTAAGAGAAATTGGCTTCACTTTAAACTGGAATGAAATAGAGTGAAGTTCTCCTTGTTTTGTGTTAGTGTGCATATATATATATATATATATATATATATATATATATATATATATGTATAGAGAAATTTTTTTGGTCTTTTGAGAAATTTAAGGGATTTGATACTGTTCTGGAGAAATTCTCGGTCTTGCTTTCTTCATTTGTTACTATGTACGAACTCATTTATATGGTTAAAAAAAATTGACCAAAAAACTCTTCAATTTGTCTGGCTAGCATAACAACCTCCGTGTTGTTGTTGTTGTTTTTTTTTAGTAACATAGGGTGTGTCTGATTAAATTAGAAGACTTAGAGAGTTTTTTAAGTTAAAATATTAGTTTTTTCAATAGAATTTTTTGCGAAAACTCAACATATAAGCAAAAACATGTCAAAATAAAATAAAATAAAATATAAATTATAACAGGAGAGACATTAAAATGAATGAAAATAAGTGAAAAATAATACAATATCTTTAAACTGTTCTGTTTAAGGAAAATAAACTCTTACCCTCTAATTTCCTTAATCAACCCTTTTTTATCCATTTTCCCCTGAGTTTCAAAAGGTTTTAACTTTGCTTGTACCATTTACATTATGAAATCATGTTACCATGTGAAATTCATTTTTGACATTTTTTGTTTTGACAAGTTTACTTCAGAGTTATTGAGTACTTGCTTTGTCAGAACTGAGCTTATTTCAATTATTTTGTCCATGAATTTGCGTGCATAACCAGAGTGATGAAAAAAACTTAACCTGAACATACCGTCAAAGGCATATATAAATATAGCCCAAGACATAGGAGAGAAAGTTACGAAATCAAAACACATTGGTGATAATGCTAGGTAATGTTTATAGCTAAGACTGACGGTTATGATACATTCACAACCCACTTTTTCCAAATATTTATCCAACAACTCATTTAAATTTTTATATTATTATTTATCTATCTTACTTTATTCTCTTTTCATAAATAAATAATAATAATAATAATATTTTAAGATTGTAACGAGATGTTTAGAAAAATTGGATGTAAAAAAATATTTTCCCTTTTCGATACCATGTACACATTCCAATGAAAAGTATTGTGGTTGAGATTAATTTGAGCAGACAGTTCCGACACATTCACTGGTTTAAAATCACTTCTATCAAACTTCAAAACAAAACAAAGGGGTACCAAGTCCAGAAGTCAGTGCAATGAGGATGAAATTCTTAGTTGCCGTTTCCGGGGGAGATTCGAGTGAATGAAAGCTTAACAAACACCTTGAACTCAGTATTATACTAAAAGAAAATATGTTTCGTAAGTGGCAGTCCATATTTACCCTTTTTTCCTACATCGATTTCTTCTTATTTCTTAATCTTAACCATCTAGTGTTCTTCCAAACCATCCCATCAAAACAATTGCTAGCATTACTTGTATTCTAATTCTCCAAGAATCAATTTGTTTTCCCCCAATCTCACATTTAACACTTATCTTGCAGGGTGAACCAAGTTTTCATCTGTTTGGATTTGTAATCTGTATTTCATCGACCGCTGCCAGAGCATTTAAATCAGTGCTTCAAGATATTTTGTTGTCCTCAGAGGGGTAATGATTTTATCTGCTTTTTCCTCATTTTCGTAAGATGATAGAAACAAGGAACTTTTAGGTTTTGAATTCCTATAAGTGCTACTGTTCTATAATTCTGTTGTGAACCAACACAAAGATAGCTTCGATGGTTTTCAGAGAAAAGTTGAATTCTATGAACCTGCTGCTTTACATGGCTCCTATAGCAGTGATGGTCTTACTTCCTGCGACATTGTTTATGGAGGGAAATGTTATTGGGATCACAATAGAACTTGCCAGAAAGGATACCAGAATATTTTGGTTTCTGCTTCTCAGTTCTTCTCTTGCATATTTTGTGAACCTCACTAATTTTTTGGTGACGAAACATACAAGTGCACTAACTCTTCAGGTATGTCCCAATGCCATACATTCAACATATTTCACATGGAAACTTCACAGATTAAGGACTCATTTTAGCATATTACCTGCATTTCACATACCCGAATTCTACTAATGAAGCCAACAACACTTCTTGAGCATTCTTCTGAAAATATTTCCTTGTTTTGAATGGACCACAAGAATTTATAGTTTTCTTGCTATTTGGAAATGAACCAATATATAAATATATATGGCATGAAGTGAATCTAAATGGCACAATTAAATCTGTGCAGGTTTTGGGAAATGCAAAGGGGGCAGTTGCTGTGGTGGTCTCAATTTTGATATTCAAAAACCCCATTTCAATGATAGGAATGCTTGGCTATGCACTCACTGTCATTGGAGTTATATTGTACAGTGAAACCAAGAAGAGATATAGCAAAAATTAGTAAAATTGACTAGATTACCACAAGCAGAGTGTGATTTACCACAACCCAGAGGAAGTTATGCATATAAAATGATGAGCTTGCAGCAACCATTTTATGACAAGTGAACTGGAATATTTTTTTTCACTCCTATTTCATTCATTACATGCATTGGGGGAGTAGTCACCTCCCCATAAACTGTATGATGTGGACTTGAGCTTCATGCTTAATGTCTAGTTAGTTATTTTTAATTTGTTTTGTTTTTATAGTTCCTCAATCATCACTGCAATTTCTTTTTCACAACATTTAAAAAAGGACTTCAATAATTTAGCAGAGAGATCCAATCACATGATATGCAAATTAATTAAGAAAAATAGTACGATTGATGTTGGAAATTTCACCATAAATTAATTATAATAATTATAAAAAAATATTTTAAAATGATATACATCTTACAAATAATTTGTTTACAATTTATAATAATTTTCTTAAATTTTAGCTTAACTTACTCATCATTTTCTCATTATTACAGGTTACATTTTTATTATTTACTTTTTATATTTTACAAATTTTTTAATGTTTTAATTATATTTTTTAGAATATTTGAGATATAATCAACCCTAACATTTGTTCCCTGTAAATAATGAACATTTATTTTTTTCCTACTAAATAACTGTATAGATAAACAATTTATCTTACCTATCATAAATTTTCTTTTATATTCTTATTAACATATAATTTTAATTCATAAAAAGTTATTTAAATTTTAATATAAAATTAATAAATATGAAGATAAATGATACTATTATATATATATATATATATATATATATATATATATATATTTAAAAAATATTGTACAAATCAGTCTTATGATGCATTATATTTCTTCAAAATAAAATAATCATATCTTTTAATTAAAAAGCCAGTTTCGATCTAATAAAATAGAATAATCCACTTGTTAGAAAAATAATTTGATTATAATTGAAATTAATTACAATGATTATATTTTATATTGTGGATCTATTACTTTCTTTTTCTTTTACACTGAATTTGGGATCACCTATGATTTTGAAAATTTGTTATTCATAAATCCAATTTTAATTTTTATAGAATGTTAGGTAGAGAAGATTAATGTTAGGTTTATAACATGAGTGACGCATGTTACATTAAACTATACGTGTCTAACGTTGATAGTCTTCGTTAACATTTGATTCTCTGAAAAATTTCACTTTCCAATGCATTCTTTCATTTTTTCTAAATCCTAGAATTGAAGTGACATTTCACAAGAAAAAAGAAAATAATATTTGAAAACTTTCCTTTCCACAGACAAATGCTATACACGCTGCGCAAAAGGAAGAACATGTTTAATTACTTGTTTCTCTCTTTATTCCTAAATCATTTTAATTTTAAAAAAATATTTTTAAAATTTTAATATTTATAAATTTAAAATTATATTAAAAATACTTATTATAGAAAAAAATATAGTTAATTATTAACAATAATTTAAGAAGAAAAAAATATTATTAAAAAAATAATAAATTTCATAAAATAATAAAATTTAATATTTATCTTAATTACTATAAAATATTAATCAGTACATATTTTTAAAATTAAGATTTATTTTTCACACTATATTAATTTGTATAATATATAAAATAAATATTTATTTTATTTAATAATTTATAATTAAAAATATTTTTTGATATATATATATACATTATATTCTCTTTATAATAAAAAGAAAAATATGACAATAATTCAAGCCAAAATAATATAAAAGAGTTTTTTATAATAAATGGAAAATTCTATATTGATAAGTTGAATTATTTTTTTATAATATCTATATAAAAAGTTATTCTGTGAAATCTTTTTATTTAACTGTTTTATACATGTATACATAAAATTTGAATTCAAAAATAAAAGTTGATATAAAATTAGAATTTAATAATTACATCGCAATAATAAAATCTATTACATTTTTGTAATAATCACTATAAAATACCAATCTGTTTCTACTAATTCAAAATTCTTATAATTAATTTTTACCCTTTAAATTTTTTTGGATAATTTAATTATTGTAACTAAATTTATTAAAATATATAATATTATTTCAAAATTACTCTTAAATTTTTAAATTATTTAACTTTCTCTTTATTTATGTCCCACTTAATAATTAATTGTTGAAAAAGTGTGATTATATAATTTAATTTTCATCTACTCCAAGAAGAAGTAAATGATGTCATCATTTCCTATATTTATTATATTTTAGTTAAATATTTTATTAAAAGGGTAGATAATTTATTGAATGATATATTAAAAATGAGAATAAAAGAAGTAGTCTATACTTAGATGAATGATTAAAGATTTTGTAAAATTAAACTAGTTAATTTATAATTTAATTTGTAAAAAAATTATACTAATTTTATTTTACTGGTCATATAAAAATTGGTCCCTACCCAATTCTGACTCAGATTACAGTCATTGGAGGGATATTGTAAAGCATTGAAGAAGAGAAGAAAGAAACATGCATTGCATTCTCCCAAGTGCCACCTAGTGAAAGGTGCCAGCTTAAGAAAATTTTCACACACAATAAATCAGAGAACTCACAATTCAAACACCAAAATCTGAGAACACTTTTACATACAGAGGAACCAAGCTTGATTTTGAGTCTTTTCCCAAGGGATCAAAGGGAAGGACCCAAATTTGCACACGCAACCTTTGGTTCCTTTCCCAATACCAACACAACACCATGGTGGCAGATTCTAACTCCAAATCCGATCTCTCCTTCGGCAAAATCTTTGCCAGCAGTGCTTTCTCTGCATGTTTCGCTGAGGTCATAAACTGAACTTTATCTGGGTTTTCTTCTTTTTCATCTTGTTTTGCTTCTGGGGATTCTCTTTTTTCATGATTTTATGAAAGACATATCCTTTATGTTTATGCTATGTAGTAGTACTAGCAATGGATCTGATTTGCAACCTCATTTTGGTGGGTTTCTTAGTTTTGAGTGCTTATTTTTCTTTTGCTGTGTAGCAAACCATGCCTGGTGGTAGATGATCAAGTGAGTGTTTTTGTGAACTTGAGTTCAGTTGAATTTGTTGACGATGATTTAACTGTGTTTAGTGATATATAATTTTCAATTTGTATCTACCAGTATTAGTGTGATGATTTACCAATTTTCTTTTGTTTTTGGTTAAATGTGAATTTGAAGGTATTATGTTTTTTTTTTTTTTCATCTAAAAGAATTAAGTTTGTATTGTTAGTCAATGGTGGTCTCTGTGGATTTTGACTGCCATGAAATGTTTGTCTTCGAAAGCTGTTTGTTTTTTCAAGATTCAACATGAATGGGGGTTGTTCCCTCCTTGATGACACAATGTTTGAATTGAAAACAGTGATAAACTTTTGATGTTTTGTTATTAATGCAATCTAATGGAACAATTTCGAATGGGCAGAAAAGGAACGGAATGTAACAGTGCTAATTTTCTTCATGGTTTTGAAGATTAATAATGGAATGGTGTTCCATTACCCCTGACTTTGTGCCATTTCAGTATTTCACCTCTTGAATTTATTTCCTTTCCAATTCATTTTCAAACTCCCAAAGAAGAACTTGTTTCTGTTCCCTTATTCCAAATCTGGCATTCAAAGACCGCATTCAGATATAGCTGTTATGTGTTACAACTTTGGCAACAGTTTTCTTGACATATGTTGAATTTGGTCCTGAGTTGCTCCCAGTGGAGATTGATTTGGCTTGTTATTGTTACATACCCGTCACGGATTTTTTTAGTATGCTTTTTGCATTCTATTCATTCATTCTCAGATTTGTCAATAAGTTACTGTAATTGAAATAGGTGTGTACTATTCCGTTGGACACTGCCAAAGTTAGGCTTCAGCTTCAAAAACAAGCTGCAGCTGGTGATGTAATCTCCTTACCTAAATATAAGGGTATGCTGGGAACGGTTGGTACAATTGCCAGGGAAGAAGGTCTTTCAGCACTCTGGAAGGGAATTGTGCCAGGGTTACATCGTCAGTGTTTGTATGGAGGTTTAAGAATTGGGTTATATGAGCCTGTGAGTTGTGAATCTTGTCACTGAAATTTGTTCGTTTATTTTATAGTTTATATCTGTTCTCTCATGTTATCTTATGTTGTAAATAACATGGGTTGTTTACAGGTTAAGGCTTTCTATGTGGGGAAGGACCATGTTGGAGATGTTCCATTGTCAAAGAAAATTCTTGCTGCATTCACAACGGGTAAAGCTCAATGCTGGAAGTTGTGGGAATATTTGTACAAGTTCATTTTTATGGATTATTTACGTTTTTAGCATGAACTTGGATTATTCCTATCTAAATACTCATCATTATAACCCAATCATGAACTATCTCAATTTGTCTTGGCAACAGGCGCCGTGGCAATTGCAGTGGCAAATCCAACTGATCTTGTCAAAGTTAGACTTCAAGCAGAAGGAAAACTACCTCCTGGTGTTCCCAGGCGCTACTCTGGATCTTTAAATGCTTATTCAACGATTGTGAGACAGGTCTGTGCAACCCAATATAATTTATCAGGAGAGAAAAATGTATTCGCTCATTTTAGTTTGTAATTATTTCTGATCTACATCGATATAACACACAGGAAGGAGTTGGGGCTCTTTGGACCGGGCTTGGCCCCAATATAGCAAGAAATGGTATCATCAATGCTGCTGAATTAGCCAGTTATGATCAAGTGAAGCAGGTAATTTCTAAGTGACTAGATGCTAGCACTATGGAGCAAATTTTGTCCTTCTTCTTTAGTTTTGCAATTAACTTTTTTTTTTTTTTTTTTGCAGACTATTTTGAAAATTCCAGGATTCACTGACAACGTTGTGACTCATCTCCTTGCTGGTCTTGGGGCAGGGTTTTTCGCCGTCTGTATTGGCTCCCCAGTAGATGTGGTAATGTTTTTATTGCCTCCAAATTTTCGATTTAGTGTGTTAATAGTTGTTTCATTTTTATAAAATTTTCACTTTACATACCATGTTCCTCCATGATGAACTATGAATCCCAGGATGATTAGAATATGGTAGGATAAGTAAACTTTTAAAGCTTATTCGGAATTTGTTTCTGATCTTTTTAAGGCCCATTGGGGTGGATGTGAATAAATTTTATTTTTCAATGTGGTTGGGAGATATGATCAAGTGAGCTTCTCGTTATAATTTTTGTTGTTCTATCTTCATTCCGGTGTTTGTGCAGGTTAAGTCGAGAATGATGGGAGATTCTAGTTACAAGAACACCCTTGATTGTTTTATCAAAACGTTAAAGAATGATGTAAGTTGCTTTTCACTGTTTACTTTGCCACCTCTAGTTATCCGACACATGTTAAGACATTCTCATTTCTTACTCTATCTTATATGCCCTCAAACCTAATTGATTTGCTTCACTATAATGTAACATAGTCTTCTTTTTCTTCCATTCTTTCTCTGTCTCTGTCTCTCTCTCTCTCTCTCTTTTCTTGTTGGGAAGTGAAAGTAGATATCTCTACATATTTTGTGTTTTTAGCCTTAAATTTGGTCAAACAAGGAGTTTATTGTACATGTGTATCCTTCATCAAAACTGATGTGCCTATGTAATCTGATATTTTTTTTCCAGGGACCCATGGCCTTTTATAAAGGGTTCCTCCCAAATTTTGGACGGCTAGGATCTTGGAATGTGATCATGTTTCTCACCTTAGAACAGGTATAATTTGAATATTCTGCTAATTTCCATTCCATCTTTCTTTTGTGGTAAGCCTGTCATGGTCTCTTAATTTATTTTTATAGTTTTGCATGGTTTTTGAAGTGGAGATTAGTATTTTTATATTTAATATTCACAAGCTGGTTTAATAGCATTTTGGCAACCTCTTCCCTGCATAATTAGAGATAAAATCCATTCCACAAATCCCACATTTAAAGATAATTATTCACTTTAGATAAATTTCTCAATAAACATTTATAGAAAAATCAAATCAAATTAAAGCTTAAGTAATTTTTCGTCCTTGCAAATGTCAGCTTTTGCTTATAGTCACTATATAACTTTTGTTTATGATCCCTGTAATGTTCAAACTTTTCTTTGTGTCTCTGGTTAGTCCAGGTTACAAAAGCATTTACATGGTGTTGTCATGTAAGCATTTTTGTAACGTAGCATTGTCATATGTCAAATTACTGACGGAGCCACATAAGTGGTTTTGTAAGCAAAGGATGGAAGGTTTGGATATTACAAGGATCATAAATAAAAAGTTACAGGGACTAAAAGCAAAAACCAGTACTTTTGGAGGGACCAGTAAGGTATTTAAACCTTGTTATCTATATATATATGCTATCAACAAGAGAGTCCTAAAACTAAAATAAATAAAGGTATAGTGAATCAAAATTTTCATGCAAGTCAAAATTAACTTATATGCAGCTTAACTTTTTTCGTATGTTCTGATAAACATGTATAAAAGTGGTAAGGGAATTTTTGTAGTAAATCAAAGACTTCTCTCAATTGAAAATTTCTCATAGGCTAAAAGTTATTCCTAGAGCCTATTCAGACAAACTTATACTAGGAACACTCATGAATTAAAATTAGCTAAGATACAAGCTAAAAGATAAGAATTTAGAAAATGTATGAGATAGCTTCTAGATATTAACTGAAGTAGAATGTAGAAGCTAATTTTAAGTTATGAAGAGGCTTATTTCACTTTTTCTGCTTATTATCTTCTAGAAGCACTTGTAGAGAAGTTTGTCCAAACAGACCTTAATTGAGTTGAGCCTTTTCTTGCATGCACTCCAAAGATTTAGTTTATCTTCTAAATTCCAACTCTTGAATTTGTGTATACTCTCTGACTTATATGTTTTTTATATGACAGACTAAAAAGTTCGTCAAAAGTTTAGAGTCATCCTGAGCTGAGTTACCTTGAGAATCTTCTAACGAGAATAATGGTAGAAGATAAAGCTCTTTCTCTTCATTCTGCTAACTGATTTGATGTGTGGTCAAGCATCTTTCAGGGTGGAAATTTTCTTAAGTAAAATAAGTAAGGATATGTTATTCATGTATACTGGCTTTAAGCAATTTCCATATATTCTGTAGGATTTCATGCAGTTTTCATTTGATTCTCTTTTAATTTTATTATGATTCATCATTGGACACGACTTTAGATTCGTTTCAAATTTGCTGGGGGTTCAAGCCTCAAAACCAATTTTTCATTTATTTATAAATTTAAACTCAACATAGCCCTTGATCAATACCATTTGTCTTAAAATGGTGGTTATTTTCTTAGTAGTATCAAATTTTACGCAATAGTTGCAAGAATTTCGCTTTCTGTTTGCAAGAAAAAATATTAGAGCACCCCTTTAGTAGGACTGTATATGATTTTTAAAATCATTTTTTTAAGGTCTAAACATAAAATTAGGAACACTATTTTCTTTTCTTTTTCAAGTTTAAGTGATTTTTAAGGTCATGTCATGATTTTTCTTCTATTTCACTACAGTTTTCAAATTGGGAGATGAAAATTGAACTTTATTCTAAAATTCAGAAAATAAAAATATAATTAATTAAACCAAAAAACTCAAATGAATTGAGCTCTGGCATCAATAATAAGTGAGGGAAACATGTGTCCTGGGTCTTTTCTTGAAAATGCTTCAACTTAAACATTTTCATGAACATTTTCTTTTTCTTTTTCTAAAAGAAAACATGTTTGATGCAAGATTAGAAAATATTATTACATTTTTAAAAAATTATCTTTGAAAAAAAAAAGAGACTAAAATTCGATTATTTTTTTTCACTTTCACGAGTAATTAGTGAAGTTCTTCATTATTATTATAAGCGATTTTTGTATATGTCTTTGGAGCTACAATGATAAGTCAAACAAGAAATTGAAAACGAAAAAAAAATTAAAACCAATTATTTTAATTTTGACAAATTAAAAAAAAATGAAATGAATACAAATGGAAAATATTTATGCAAACTAAATAACAATTGATTTTGTTAATGATCATAGGTGAAGGATAGGAAAACGGACTCTTTCATATATATTTTAAAATAGATTATAAATTTTTTATTTAATTTAATCTTATAACTAGTCAATTTTGATCTAATTAATTTTTTTTTAAATATATCATATTTATATAAAATAATTTATTCAAATAATAAATAAAAAATTAAAAATAAAAATTTATATTTTTAAATTAAGTTATATTAATGAAATTAATTTTTTAAAAATATAATAATTTAATATATAAATTATAAAATGAGGTATCCATTTACTCGGGAGAAATAATTAAATGCTTAATTTTAATTCTCAACATTTATGTTTTAATAATATTATGATCTAAAATAATAATTCATCTTAATAATTAAATAAGTTTATAACTCTTGCTCTTAAATTAGGTGTATCTCTTCCCAAATTAATTTATATTTTAAGTTTTTTATTCATAAATTAAACTCATTTTAACACTCTTGACTACCCGAGAAGCCACCTAATGAGAAAAAAATTGCAAATTATATCTATTAGAGATAAAAAGTTTTGATCAACATATTAAAGTTGGTAGAATATGAAAAAGAGAATCGTATTGTTCAAATCTAGTTCATATTGAATATGAAAAGGGGAACATGTTATTTTCGAAAGTAATTCTTGATGATATAGGTTGTTTAAACAGTTATATTAACCTTGAAAAAGTGCCTTAATTATCAACTTAATCAAGAAAAGCATTGCATATAATAAGAAGGGAAAATTGAATTATATATATAAGTCACTAGGAGACTATGGATAATGAAACTATTATAGGAGAAACCTTCAATGGGTCTTATTTGTACCAATCTAATAAAAAATATGAATAAATAAAAATGGAGTTCAAGCGATCTTATTTGCATTGATAAATTTTATGTTACTTTCTCGTTAAATAAAAATGGTGAAAGTATGATTTGATTCGTTTATATCTAAATTTATGAAAAGAATTTAATTGAGAGAAATTGTGTTCCATTAAAGAACGTTATAGTTGGTCCTTGGTTTGCCATAGGTGATTAATCCTACCTAATGGAAGTTAGTCTATTATGAGAACTAAAACGAGGAACCCCAAAATATATTTTAAGAGTATATTTTGTTATGCTTCTTAATTCATTGAAACCCATCTTATGAAAATTATGAAGAGTATACTTCAAAAATTATAATGATCTAATTTTGACAAGTTTATGAAAAGTACAAAGTCTTTGCTTTCATTTAAAACTTATTTAAAGGTATCAAGAGTGTTTGATGTTGAATAATTGACAAGCATACCAATATTATCAATTGCAGTATAGTATTTCGATTAAATAAAAGTCAATCTTATGAGGAACGACTTCACTGAAAATTTCAAATCATAAGCTTATTAGGTGGATTAACACAAAACTAGTTTTTCATAAAGATTTAGGTTGAAAATAAATAACAAAGAACTGAAAAGTGTTTTTAGAAAAGATCAAATAAAAGAACTTAGGATTTGTTTAATTCATTTTCCCTCTTTTGTATAATGGCTAGGTCAAATTAAGAACATCAATTAACCTATCAATGTTGATGTCACCTACTTAAATCATTTACATTGATTCCTGACACATGAAATTCATAAAAAAATCTAATAAACGTCGATTTCTCATATATTTAATAGATTTCCTAGCATTAGGTTTAGAGTGTTAAGCAATTGTTACATCCATTACCATTCCTAGCAACTAACGTAACAAATATTCTTAACTTGATCTAGGATTTCAATATATATTTTCCAATATATCCCAAACATCAAAGATAAACATTAAAGAGCACAAAAGATAAGAATAGTAACATCAAGAACATAGATTAATATCTTAAAATATCACCAAGATACAAAAAAGTTCAAAGGAAATGCATTCAATCCTAAGATAATGAAGTTAGTAACTCATGATGATCATTACAATGATCAAAATGAAGAAAAATTCAAGAAGAATTGAAGATTGGACGAAAACTGAAGTAGATGTCGCCTCTCTTATCAAAATCTCGAACTCTCTTTCTCAAAACACATTTTATCTATTTATAGAAAAATTTCGCGTCATTTGCTCAAGCGAGTAATGCTGATTTTCGCTCAAGTGACTCAAGCGAGAATTTGCTCGCTTGAGCGATTGAATTCCCGAGAGCTTTAACGTATTTTCGCTCAAGCGAGTGTTTGTCTCACTTGAGCGAATGACTTGCAGAGAGGTTTAACATATTTTTGCTCAAGCGAGCATCTGCCTCGCTCGAGTGAATCTTAAGCTGAAAATCTTCTTCCATTTTTCCAATTTTTCTTCAATTAACTTAAAAATTATGATCGTTGCTCTTGTACCCAAGTATTCTGCAAATTCATCTTACATTAGGAGAAGAATAGATTAGAATCAACAAAATTCAAGTGGTTAAATAACAATTCAAAGCATAATTACATCAATTTTTGTCACTTAACATTTGTATATGTGATTTGCGCATATTTTAGAAGAAAGGAAAGGAGAGGAAAAAAGTTGAATGATACTGTCCTTATAAACTTGCGATGAAATAGAGAGAAATTGAGCCTAATTACCATGTTGTCCCGATTAATTTTTGTCGCATGGTGAATAGGTGCACATGTAGAGATTCTCACTCTGCATCACTCCAGACATCCTTCATACTAAGACAATGCATGAACACACAACTAAATCCAAGACATAAGTACAACTCTTCATGTAAATATACAATTGTGCAGGAGACTATTGTGACTAGTCATGAGCATTAAACGAACGTTGATATTTTATGTTCACTTATTGAATACTCTCGTGAACCATTTGCAATCAACTATAAATAGATTTATTGGCTAAGCAATATTCATTGCATGTTCACTCCTTGAATGAAATTATGATTGAGGTTGACAAAGAACAATAAGAGTTATTAAGGACTTTCTTTTATCTTCATCGTCCACTTACTCCTAGTCAGTTTTTTTTATCTTTTTCTTGTGCAATTTATTGTTGATTTGAATCATTTGTCATGTCAATTTAATTGTGTAATGAGTATGTTATTTGAATTTGTTATATGTTCTCTCATTATATTACAAAAGTGAAGGTCGAAAGCATGATAAATTATAATGGTCTCTATAATCGATTATAAACCAAAGCATAATTGATTATGATGAATTACATAATCAATTATGTCGGACTACATGTTCGATTATCTATGATAACATAATCAATTATTTGTGTGTTGTAATCGATTATGAATGCATACATTATCGATTATGTATGTCTTTATACATTTGTTCGCTATATTGAAATATGATAGAATGATACAAAATTACACATAAACATTATTTGTGATTGGTGCTTTGCCTTTGTGGGTGTTTGCCTGAAATGCATTAAGGAATATAATTATAAAAATATATTTGAGATAATTATTTTAAAAATTAAAAAAGGTATTTTTAGGTAAATATAAGACTAATCGGAAAAAAATGGTTAACATGTAGCATGGTCATTATTATTCTTAACATATGGTGATCTTGGTCTTATAAAATCTTCATGACATAAAAATTATTATTTATTTTTTTTAAATTAGTTAGAGACACTCACATTAGTAAGAAGAAAATTTGGATAGAGGTGGTGAAGAATAAATATCTTAAATAACAATATATTATACCCAAATCCAAATATAGGACGTACATGATTTTAGTATGTTAATCAAGGGTATTCACTTATTAATCTAAATTGATCAAACCTAATTAAAACAATTTTTTTGTTTGTGGGTGTGATTGTGAGAATTCAATTGAATCCAGCACATTCGTTATTTGTATACATTTTTTAGAAGTATAAAGATTGAAAAAAAGAGTCATATATTAAATATTATTTTCTTTTTTTTACCGTAATCTTCTTACACAAACATTTCTTAGAACATCTTTAATAGATAATTCGACAATAATTTCTTAAACTATTTTTACTTTCAAATATTTTCCATAAAATAGTTAAGAACTTTATCCACATTTTTCAATAGTAAATACACTATAAACTCTTTTTTTTTAAGTTCTTACTTTTGTAAAAAGGAAAAATAGTTTTTTATTTGTAATATTTTATCCTAAAATAGATTGTTCAGTGTTGAATTCAAACCGCAAACATCATGAAAAGAAACTTACAAATTGAATTTCAAGTGCTTAAGATTTTATTTAATTTTGTTTAAATATATTTTTTAATAAAAGAAGTATATAAATATCAATTACTATAACAAAATTAATTGGTAAAGGAAAATTAATGTTTTTTACTTATAAAATAAGTTCTTTTTAGTGTTTATTAACTCAATCCAACTCAACCCATTATATATTATTTTGGTGACGTTGAAATTTGGTAAAAAAAATAACATATTCAATTTAACCCAACCCATATTATTTTTTAATCAGGTTGTATAACAAATAGTTGGTTTAGTTTGATGAACAAACTTAGCTAAGATTTCTCTATTATAATTCCATGGGAAACTTTATAGAATTGGAAAACATATTACTTGGAGTGCTAAATTGTTGATATATTAAATGTACAAATACTTGCAAAAAACACATTTTATCTGAGGGGAATATTGATAGCAGCACCTATATGTTTTCTGTTAAGCCTAAGAAGAAATCTTAACTACTTAGTGGACTACATCAACAAGTCCAACCTAAGAGGTTCTTCATTATGTGCCAAAAAAGAGATCCATATTTGGAAAATGCGTAAGGAAGACTCTTTTGTGGGGGAAAAGATCACTATTGTCCCTCAAACTCACAATTACAGTATCACCAGTGATCCTGTAAGTAATATTGTAGAAGAGTAATGAAAGAAATTAACAAAATGTGTGTGAAAAAACAAACTCAACTCAGCTTTTTCTTCTCCAGAATCCAGTTATGGACTCTGCTGACATATTTCTCATTGATTTTCACATGTAAAAAGCACAGTTTTCTGTAAACCTTCAAAATGTACATGTCTATGTATTCTTCATATCTTTCATAGATTGCTGGTACTGTAAGAACAATAAAAAGACCTGCCACATAACCAAACCACAGCAACAAAGTCATTTTTATTCATCTACTACTTAATTTTCAATAACTGCTGGAGATTAATCAATAGAGTGAGTTGAATCTATTTTGCTTAAATAATTATAAGAAACTTACTGGTGTATGCCAGAGTAAGGAAATCAGTCAAGCCACCAATAATAGAAATTAGCCAGAGGTATGCAGCTACTTTCAGGAATAGCCTTGAGTCTTTACCAAGGGCAATATCTTGAGAAACTGATAACGTATCATTAACTCTTGTGCGGATAAAAGTTGTCACTTCGTTTGCCATTTCCTCTGACAGATGCAACTGTGGTAGAGGTGGAGCAGGTCTGTCAAAAGAAAAATAACAGTTTAATCTGCTTTATACATTTTCTTAAAACACCATATGCAACTAATCACTGCTGAAATTTAGAGATGCAAATTACCGACATGATGACATGTTTGGTTTAGCATTTAAATTCTTGGATCCATGTTTCAGATGTGGATCATGGATCCATGTTTGACTTGATCCGACATGAAACCAGACACGCACAATGATGAATGTTGTGAGGTGTCTAAACTTCAATATCTTGTTCAAATGAAGGAACCAACCTAGACTTTCAAATTATTGACTACATTACATTCCATCAAGCCAACTCATCCACATGTAGCCAATGTGTCGTTAAATGGATTTATTAGTTCAAAGAGTATTTTTCTTCACTGGCACTGTGATACAAAATAAGGTATCTATATACCCCACTTCACCAAGATGAACATTAAAATAATGGACCTAAGATCAGTACACTCAAAGACTAGGCATCTTCTCCATTGCAAATAGCTGTCAACAATTGAAACAAGGCTCAATTTCATCCGTGCACTGATAAAAGATTTTAAGGATGCACCTTCCATCACTCATCATTCAAAAAATGCAACAAATATACAATGGGAACTTTCTCCTACAAAAGTATCTTTTGGATAAAAACTTGCAACTGCAACTGTCTATTTTATGAATCAAAATAAATCACAAAATGTTCCCCAAGAGCAGCAACAAAACTCAGGGTTCTCACGAATGATTAATGATAATAGGCACAAACAAACATACTTCTGATGAAATGTACAAGAAAATTTATGAGCATTAAAATACGCAAGTGCTGTGCCCAGATAAACATAAGTCACCATATTATACACAGCATCAAGTTTTCAAACAATTTTTCATATTTCTTAAAACAACAGCAGCTCAGTTACAGCATACATATTTTGCCATTTCAACCACTAAACCACAATTCCAGATTAGAACAAATAATGATAATTTGAGGTATATGATCTATAAATGCTTTTACATTTTATCACGTTTCAGAGTTTAGAAAAACATACAGAAGAAGATCCAAGTCAAGTACATTCAGAATTTGTATAACTGTTACCTGTTGAGAATCGCAGCTGACTTGGCCCAAAGGAAAAGAATGACAATGAGGAGGAGGAAAACATTGGAAACAAGAGACAGAAGTGTATAACCAGATCTTTCAAACACAACCCAAACAGCTAGCGTGACCAACAATATCCCCATCGTTAGGTTCTTCCGTCGCCACAGTATTAAATCTGCAACTGCATTGAAGCATGGCATTGATTCAGCAAGGATTCAAACATCATGATCAATTATCAATTCATTCTGTTCATCTGGTTCTGACCCTTTTCCCATTGGCACCGAAAGCAAATAAAAAATGAAAACAACAGGCACAGCACATTTACATATGCCACCGTTGAATCAAGTGGGACCAAAATAAACATAATCAAACAACACCAAGGAGATAAAAAGATAAGATTGAGATACACTGATCAACACAAATCACCAATAAAACTGAGCAATTTAAACAAAACTATTAAGACAGCAAAATGACAGACCTTGACCACCACCAAGGATCTCATGGAGAGTTCTTTGCCGGTTGAACAAACGATCAGAGGAACCCATTTTGGGGAGAAGCCAAAGTGAGGAGCTTGAACCCAGTAAAGGATCTGTCACCCAAAAAGAAGAGACCTTTGAGATGATCCACGGAAAAGAAAAAGCAGTGAACAACAACTATGTCGAACTTTTATAGTTTTAATCAATTTTTCACCTTACATTTATTCACTTTTTTGAGTTTTATGGTGAGAGTGGACCCAAAATTATGTGTATTGTAAGGATGATGGGTGTTGGAAACTGGGGTTGGATGTCTCAGATTACAGCCTAAAAGTGAAGTCCCATTCTTTGCTTTTCAGTCTCACATAACAGTGTTCCACTACTTCCTACTCCACCCCAATGCCCAACACAACACAAAAAAAAAACAAAAAAGAAAGAAAGAAGAAAGCAAAGGTTGATGGGTGTTGATCTCATTCATATTCCACTGTAAGCCATCGTCCCTTGAATTGACCGTCTTCTTTGTTCACCGCCCACCCAATCAATCCATTATTTGTTGTCTTGTTGACTGTAGTTTCTCTTACAGCTTTTATTCCTTTTCTATCCAAACACTCGTGTTACACACGTAAGTGATCATCATATTAATTTGAAGGGTTAATTGTATTTTAAGATTATGTTTGAAAAAAAAATTAAAGAATTTTAAACAATAATATAAAAATAAGTTTTTATAAACTAAAATTAAATTAATTATAACTTGTCCATAAGTTAATTTTATTTAAGAAAAAAAAGTATGCATGTGTAAAATATTATATTTATGTTTAAGGTTGTTATAGAAATAGTTTTGATTTACTTTTAGTTCACGTTTGTCCAAAAATTGTTTTTATTTATTTCAATTAAAAAATATTAACAAAAAAAACTGTATTTAAGATTAGTTAAAAAAATATCACTTACGTTAAAAAATTAACTAATATCAGTTCAAAAATAACAATCACGTCTTTTAAAAAAACTTTGAGATGATAATTAATATTTACTCACCTCCACTCTAATATACTGATAAAGAAAAATTCTACCAATTTCGGTACTAAAATAATGTCAAGTCAAAAAATTAACATTGTTTAAGACTAAATCAAAGAAAATAAGAAAAAACATAAATTTGATAAATGAAATAATTTCACAATTTTACTTTTAGATGAAATTTTAAATTAGTTAATTTTAATTAGTCAAATTATTTTTAAAAATTTATTTTCCTTTACTTTTTTATTTAAACAATATAGTAGACCTTTTAATTTGGTTAAAGTAACGTTGATTCACATGAATTAAAGTAAAAAATAAAATAATATATATATATATATATATATATATATATATATATATATATATATATATATATAAAGGAGTTCATGAGAACCAAAATGCTCACAAAATTTTCATGGGTCTAGTCTATGGTAAATTTTTTTAAATAAAAAATCTATATTAAAAATGATGATTTCAATAAATTAAAGTTCAAAACCCATAAGATTAGACTAAGATACAAATATGATAACTTAGAAATAAAAAATAAATTAATTTGGTATAATTTTTTTAAGTAATTCATATAATAAGATAGGGTCACCTAGGTTCAATAGAAATTCAAATTGACTTTATTTGATTCATGTTACATTAAAAATGAATCAGTTAAGATTAATTTAGTTTAAGGGAGTAAAAAATTTCATAACTGATATGATTAGTGGATTAGAAAAGTTGATTATATTTAAGAGTTGTTTTTAAATTTTTTAAATCACTAAAATAGGTGGGTTATGTAACTTTATTTCCTGTAATAAGTATAAATAAATGGGTTAGAGAGGTTTATTCACTAAAATAAATATATTAAGCTGATTAATTCATTAAAATATTTTTTTCATATATTTATACTTCCACATAAAAAAAATATTAAAGTTAAAAAAAAAATAATCATCAACTGAGTTCAAACTCACTTAACATATGTATTAAGTAAATGGGTTTGTTTTGACCCTTAATTAAAAATTTTCAAAAATTTTCAATATCAAATCGGATTTGGCTACATTAGATGTTAGATAAGTCAAGTGGAGTCAAATAAATTTAAATTAAGATGAGACAATTTAGAACGAATAATATTAAATTAAAACTAGGTGTTTTTTTTAAGGCTAACAACTCTTTATAGATATTTTCATCTTGGAATTGATCATACCTCGCTGTAGTGAAAGGAGGATGGTACAGAGAAAGCAGGAAAACCCAGTATGGGAAAAATACTGCTCAGATACCCGAGGGCAGACAGAACAGAGAAAACCGGGAATGAACCGAGAATAAACTGCCCTGAAACCCGAAAGGGGATGGAAAGGAGGAAAGTAAAGAGACAGGAAAACAAATAAATAAAAACATGTTATAACTTTTTATCTCTTCTGTAGGTCAACGTGGCTACTTAGCTCACAGAGAACCCAAAACCGGGCTAGCTAAAATGAAGACTGTCCGAGATAAAGTCGGTTATAGCAAGAAAAGTGTTCACCATAAGATTATGAGATGACTAAGAATAAATCTTCAGTTAATTGTTTACTGATCCAAGCAGGATCGCATTCCACCAAATAAGGGTTTATTCCGATGTTGTACTGATCGGAAGATGAGGGTGCCAAGTCATCTTGATATTGGACTATCCTCAAGTATAGACGGAGTGTAGAATCTACTGGTAATTGGAATAACCAGTTTTGTAGTGCTCCAAGTTCTATTAACAAGGCAACAAAAACCTATTCGTAGATTTTTTCTTGGATTGGGCCGGGAAGTTGTCCCAAAAATTTTCTTTTGAATGACCCAACATAGGCCATTTTATTTGTAAAAGTTTCATAATTAATGGTTTCGAAATCATAGTCCATCTTTTTATGGAGTTCTAAGATTTCGGTTTTTAAATTTTTATTTTCTATTTCCAAACAGGAAATATGTTTTTGAAAATCATTTTTCTGAAAAGAAAAGGAGTTTTTCAATTTTTGTTCCATTTTCTTGGCAAAAGCCAAGCGTTGTCTAAGTTTAATGGAATCATAAATTGAAAAATTCTTTTGTTTTGTTGGTTTTTCAAAAATGAAATTACCAACTTCGGGATGGTCCAACAAGCTGTTGTCACCTCCAACATAGCTGACCATCGCTTGTACTGCTTCTTCAAGGTTATCAAATCCTTGAAATTTGCTGTGTTTGTCATTACCTATCGCCTTCAACAGAGAGGGATATGATAGGTAGACGTCACGCTTATCTCCAGTAAAAAGGCAATAGGCATCTTTCTTGGGTTTTTTAAAAACAGCGGGCAACATTTTTGCAAAGTAATAATTTAATGCATTAATAGCATTAAACTTCGTTGTTGTATTACAAGCTCGATGAAGAGCATCAAGTAATACTTTTTGTTCCCTTGAAACGGGACAGTTCCTCAGACATTTGAATTGTTGAGGGTGACCTTCTGGTAAAACCGGAAGATGTTGTGTTCCAAACTTTAGAGTATCAAACTCTTCAGTTGTTGAGGCTGGTAACTTGCCTTTGTTGATTGGGTTTGCCATAGTAGTACCTGTATAACTGAAGGAACTCTGCAATACCCTTTTGTTAGTTTCCTTATCAAAAGAAGAAATTGTAGTATTCATTAGACAATATCCAAAATCATCTAATATATTTCCTAATTCATTATATTTATTATTCAGTTGGAAATCATTTTCATTTGGATAAAGGTGAATGAATTCATTATTTGTGAAATCATTTATTAGGCTATAATCTTTATAGCTTTTGTCTAAATTGATTTCATCATTATACTCTGTAATACTAATCACTGATAGTATTTCAGAGTCAGTAGAAACATCTTCATCTATTGGAAGAAGGTTCATGTGGCAGGATTTTATCAATTCTGCCTCTTTAGTGTAAAGGTTTGTAATGTTAGGACAATCTCTAGAGAAGTGTCCTGCTTGATTACAAGCGAAACATTTTAAAGTTTGCTTGTATGTTTTGTTTTCTCTAAATTTTTTGACGTGTCTATTAGGATTTAGAGTTGATTTTCTAGAATTTGAAGACCTAATCGTGTAAGTCTTTCTAAAAGTTGTGGGTTTTTGTCTTTCAGAATAAGAATTCTGATTGTAATTTTTATTATACCTAGGTTTACTTCTAGGTATAGGCCTTTTGTAAGGCTTATTTTGATTATACTGCTGAGGAGTATAAATTTGTTTGCAAATTCCAGCATCGAAATTTTTTAATTGCTTTTGTATAGCAATATGTGTACACGTATCTTCCATCACTTTCATGATGTGTTGTATACGTATAGAGAGGTTGTTCAACATGGGAGTAACCTCATCATTTTTCCAGGATTCTCGGATCTTTTGGCCTAGTTTTCCTGGTAGTTTGAGAAACATCTTTTCTCATATGCTTAAATCATGGAAACATCCAGCTATAGATGCGTACATGAGATAATCTTGTAAAAATTCTTTGATCTTTCCAAAATATGTTATGGAAAGTCTTTCTAAATGACCTAGATAAATCTGTTGTCTGAGTGTGTTCCCATCATTAGCAGATTGGGAAGTAAGCAATTTTTGTAACAAAGAACAAAAATTGTATATGTTAGGACTTGGTTCGATCACAAACATATTTAAGTCGGCTGGGTAATTTTTCTTAAAAGATTCCCAGCAAGCTCTAGCTACATCACCTAAATAGGTTTCAGCTTTAGCAATCATTTCTTGAGAAGAGTGAACATCTTTCTCATGATGTATGCCATAATCACGGATTACAGCTGCAGTCCATTGCTCAATGTATGTTGGCAATAGTTGAGGATCTATTCCTCCTATGTTTAAAAGAAGATTAGGCCTTTGGAAATTTGGCTCTATCGGAAGCCTCTTGCCTAATGTTGTGTATTGGTTGTCACTAAAAACAACGTTTTGTGGTGATACTCTAGGTGGGAAACCAACAGAGTAGCTGTGTATACCATCAGGAAGTAACTGATAGCTGTGAGGTTGATAACTATTTGATCCCTCATTTGTATTTACTAACCCTAATGTTGATAAGGGTTCTGAAATTATGGATACATTATCTAATGTATCATTATT